TGGTGTTTCGTCAGTCGCTTGACGAAGGCCGCCTTCCCTCTGCTGGGAAGGAAGCGATTGTCACGCCAATCTACAAAACTGGTGACCGACTATCGCCTGGCTGCTATAGGCCTATAAACCTCACTAGCGTGCCGTGCAAGGTAATGGAACGCATTCTGAAGCGAGCTATCCTAGATCACCTTACTTCCAACAATCTGATATCTCCAGCTCAACACGGATTTCTCCAAAACCGCTCTTGCGTGACAAACATGCTCGTGTTTGTGGACAGCTTAACCCAAGCCAAGGACGAAGGACTCATATCGGATGCCAAATTTTTCGACGTCTCAAAAGCATTTGGTAGGGTCTCACACGTTCCGCTGCACCAGAAACTCGGGTCTCACGGGACTGAAGGGAAAATCCTACACCGAATCAAGGCGTTCCTATGAGACAGATCATTGTGAGTGGGGATAAGCTCAACCTACTCTCCTCCAACGCCGGTCTCTATTGGGGTTCTACAAGGCTTCGTTCTGGGAACACTGTTGTTTCTGATCTACGTTAACGATCTTCCAGATGCTCCTGCCAGTCCATTCCTACTATTCGGACGACTTGAAATCCTGGAGTTCCGATGCCAGTGCCCTCCAAATGGATGTAGACGCTGCCAAGCAGTGGTCGTTGGACTGGCACCTTCCCCTGAATGGTGAAAAGTGCGTCCATGTGTCGTTTGGAAGGGATTCAGCGAGTGCCTTTATTATGCATGGTGAAAGGGGACCAGAAAACATCATGAGGATAGATACCAAAATGACTTGGGCATCTGGGTCTCCTCAAACTTGTCCTTCTCACTACACCATGAGAAATCGGCCCAAAAGGCATTCGCCATTTTACGGATGATCCGGCGCACCTTCTCCCGTAGTGCTCGCATGGACTTCCAAATACTCTATGGGGCCTACGTCAGACCGCTCCTGGAGTACGTCAACCAAGTTGTCAACTCAGGACGCACGAAAGACGTTACCCTCATTGAGCGTGTCCAGCGGGCCGCCACGAGAATGGTCGCCGGCCTCAAATCCGTGGACTACGAAACGCGTCTCGCGATGCTTGATCTCCTTACCCTGGAGTACCGTCGCCTCCGAGGGGATCTAATTCTTACTTACGCCCTGTGTGAACAAAGCTTGGCAAAAAGGTTTTTCGCTGTTGACCCAGCAAACACACGGTGGTGACATAGTAAGAAAATGTTCAAGCTCAGAGCACACACATTCATTAGACAAATTTTTTTTCATTCCGGGTAGTAGCTGAGTGGAATGACCTTCCTCCGACGGTTGTACATGCTCCTTCTAGAACCCAGTTTAAAGTACTATTGGACATTTATTTATGCGGATCCTCCCGCTGGCAGGCATACTGCCCCGCGCTGAGAACATAAAGAGCAGTGCTACACACTTTTTTCACTGGTGCCTTTCAGGTGAACGACAGGCACTGACCGACAAGGACAAAACCAACCTGGGAAACTTGGGCAAAAGGCTCGATCCTGTGTATCAATCCATGAATCCGTGTATTGAACTTAACGGGCAATTGTTTTACCGGCGCAGGTCACAAGTCGCGCGCGGCTTTCACTACTCGCGTGCCCCTGCGATGGGTTTCCAAAAGAAGGTGGGTTTCGGTCTTTCACCGCTTACTGATTTTCTAGGCAATAATAATTGACGGGAAGGATCATCTTCTTGGTCGTCTAGCGGCTATCGTGGCTAAGACTCTTCTGAACGGACAGAATGTAGTAGTTGTGCGCTGCGAACAAATAAACATATCAGGATCGTTTTACAGAAACAAGCGTAAGTTGAGCGGAATTCTGTGTCACCTTTCGTAGTCAAGTACCTTGACTTCCTGAGAAAACGTATGAGTACAAATCCATCCCGTGGACCTTACCATTTCCGTGCCCCTGCTAAAATATTTTGGCGCACGGTTCGCGGTATGTTGCCTCACAAACTTTACCGGGGAAAGGAAGCTTTGGATCGTTTGAAAGTTTTTGAAGGTATCCCTCCCCCATATGACAAGAAAAAGCGCATGGTGGTACCGTCGGCCCTGAGGGTTATGCGCTTAAAGCAACGACGGAAGGTACGTAGTTCAACATATTGTACAAGTTTTTAGTTCTGTGTACTTTCGCGGCTCTCACATGAAGTTGGCTGGAAATACAAGAACGTCATTGAAAAGATGGAGAACCGCCGTAAAGCCAAATCAGCAGTTTGGTACAAGAAGAAACGGCTGGCTGTGAAGCCTGTTGAAGCAGCAAGAAGTCGGGCCCGCGAAGCTATTGCTCCATATGAGGCAATTTTGAAACAGTATGGATACTGAAGTTGATTTGTAATAAATGGTTCAATGAGGTTGGCTCTTGGTGGTTTGAGCAGCCATGACACGGAGCCATATTTCACCTTGAATGTTCTCGAAGCTCGTATGAATGCCTGTCTAGCACAAGGACATGCATAAGTAATTCTCCATAGTATCTTAGTGAACTGTTTGGAGTAGTACCCAGTCAGGTTTCCTTAGGTGACAAATGTCCCTTTGTATCTGGATTGATATACGGATTGCGAGTGTCGAGTAGTTCCTGGTAGAGAATAGGAGAAAGACAGAATGATCTAATGTACGGTTTAATAGTGTAATAACGTAATAACGTAATAACATGAGCTGAAAATATAGAGTTACAATTATGAGTTAATGCTTTACGAGAAGGTATGGTTTTCGTGATCCTGACACTAGGCTTCACGTTGCTTTTGCTGTAGCTATTGACAGTGTGGCTGTCCGAAACATTCCAATTCAGTACGTTGCACTAACCTCTTTACAGTGCACTTTTAGGAGACGGCTCGCGCAGGTTTTTACACGAAAACAACTCCAGCGCTGTCCATTAACGCAAAAGCTCGACTAACCAATGTGTTTGGATAACTAGACAATGATAAATTATCTCCGTGGACCTTGCTGCCAATACACTAAGGCCGCTTCTGAACATCCTAATAATCTTTTCTTCCGTTTAACAACTGCAGGGCTTACTAAAATAACGCCCGTGAGATCGCGCACTCCTGGACGAGCTCCACGCCATTCGTGTCGCATGAGAAACGACACGAAACTGTGACAAGTATACTATTAAGTCCTACCCTGACTGCCTAGCTACTGATTGCCTGCCGTGCTAGGCCGGGTGACCTATTAGGTCTCCATTAAGTCTAGGTGTGCGAGGTTTCTCGAGGTTCTAAGTTTGTCTTCCTCGGTCGTTTGACCAGAGACATGTTCCTCTTTTGCTGAGGTCCTTCCATAATTCTGTGACAGTTGCTAGTTTACGGGACATCTGTGTCCTTTGTGACGTCCATAATCTGACAGTTGTGACCACCTTATTTCCGTGGCTAAATCCGAAAGGTCCTGGATTTCCTGCTGGAACTCTTACGTACCCGGATCGATTACGTCGCCACATGAAAACCACTAAAGGCTCTTTGGTCGTCTTCGTAACTTGCAAGAACATACCCAACAGAATACTGGCTGTGCTAATAACGATGGTACTGGTGGGGTTTCATGCCTGTTGGCCCAGTCAGGTTACTCGTAATGCAAGCGTAGATTCATTCCGCCATCATCATTCATTCACTCATCATTCATTCATTCCACCGTAGGCGTGACCACGGGGAAAGTTGTGCTCGTTGATTGATTGTCAACAGAGAGCTCCCAGAGATTGTCCTCTTTTCGGCCAGCTGCAATTTATTTGGGAATTGCCTCGCCTAGCAGTCACTCAGTCTCATTTAAGGTTTTCCAAAGCCGGCCGGGATAGGTTCGTCAGGGGACTTATCTTAGGCTCTTCCTACTGCTCTGAAAAGGTGAAAACGCCAGCAGTCCGCCGTAGTTTTATTTGAAATTACGCCCCCTCCAGCCAACAATTTCATCTACACAAGTCTCGGGGAGAATACCCACTGCTTCACGCACTTAGATCAGGCCGCGCCCAACACCATTGGTCTTCAGCCAAGGGGATTCCGATGGTTCAGCAACAGTGGGGCTCTCCGGGTATAAAGCAACATGTAGTGGGAGCCCATTTTTGTCTGCCAAAATATGTTTCTGGCTTATTCGAGATTTCGCACGGATGAGCTGGCCAAATATTTAGGAAACAGGTCGCGTGTAGTGTGTTGTATCCGTGTTCGCACAGTCTCGGGCGTGAAAGTGTATGGGTAGATTCCCAGAGGCTTCTCTGCAAGCATTGATCTGTGGCAAAGGTGTCCAACCTCCGTTGTTGAGTTGTCATGGAAGGTCTATGAAACCCTGATGTTTGATCCTCCTACGGGAAAACCGTGTCCACCTGGGGAACACTGGTGATGTTTCACATTTTGAAAAGAAGGAAGTGCAAGCACTACTTGAAAAGCATACGAAGGTAATCCAGTCCTTCGGTATATCCTTCGTGCCTACAGATTACGAATTCATACTGCACGACGTAGTCTTTGAATGTACCTCAACTCAAGGAGTGACACAAAGTTGTGGAACACTACAAGTATCTCGGAAGTCGCAATAACGCTGATGGCAGTGTGGCAGACTGTTATATCTGCTGATTCGCTGGCCTGTGGTATCTGCTGCTGACCCGCTCCAGTGCCTAGTTTCGGAGAGAAAAAGGTTCACGGAAGGGAACACAATAGCTATATTCCAACAAAGTAGTTGCGAGAGCGCGAGTGCGAAAAGTACAACGGCCTCAAGCTTTTTATTGGAAGGACACTGTCTGAACTTGGTCCGGTGCTGACGCACGCGGTCTGGCTTTAATACGAGGCAGCGACGTGCTGCATATTGCGAAGGCGTTGTCTGACCTTGATCAACGCTGACTCGAGCTGTCTGGGTTTGATGCAAGGCTGTGACGCGCTGCATATTGAGGGGGCGATGTCTGTCTGGTCAACACCTAGCGGAGCTGAGGGTCTCCGCAGATTCCGGGCATTCAGTGGTTGCTTTCAGGAAGCTGACCTTCCTGATACAGACGAATCTCAAAGACCAGAATTGCGTCTGCCAGTTTGCGTCATTTGTGGCGTCAAAATAGGAGATCGCTGAGCCTCAAATGATGCCTATATCATACTACATATCATATCATACTACAGTACAGCCTGTATTGCTGTTGCTGCGAGATTCATCCACTTTAGGCGAAGGTTCAGAGTCATTTTCAGCTCTTTGGTCAGAATTGTCCCAAAACTGCGGTTGGGATCGGCTGGAATCATTGAGTTCGGATTGAATTGATCAAGAGGTGCGTTTCTGGGGAAGCGGACAAAACGTCACTCAGAATGCATCCAGGGTTTCAAGGTAAGATGGCTGGGCCATGTGTTGCCCATGCCGGGGCAAGCCTAATCCACAATGGCAGAAATGTGGAGGTGGGGGGAATTTGACATGGCGGAAGGTAATGAAGACTGTTACGAAAAGTGGGGGTGCTGTTGGTGGTCTTCGTCTCGCAGGATGGGGTCTATATGACCTTTCATGTACTTGGCTGGTGACACTGAATAGTGTGGTCGCTAACCATGGTCGACGGGCTTCATGTCTAACAGCGTCGGGAAGTTGAGGGACTTCAGATTCTTCAGGTATGCTAGGCATAGGTTCCCCCTCCTGTTCTATTTTTCTTTCCATTATAAGGCCTGGTTCAAATAAATTAATGTGAAACATCCGTTTTTCCATCCCATGTCAATGATGATGTGAGAGGACCGAACGCCTTCGGATTTACAAACAAATCGGCTCACAACGTTCATAGGCTTCAACTATTGGTGTTTATCGGGTAGGTTGTATCTGTGCGAGGTCTCCGCACATGCACACACTGTTGGTTGTGCTGTCTGTGCTTTGTGAAGTACATGGCAAGTAAGCTCACCTTATTCTGTCAACGCTCCGCCCTGTTGTATGTCTCTACAACAGCTACAATCGGCTAAGCAATAAGGTCTTATTTGACCCTTCTTCCGATGGATACACTTATTGTGGCGATTGAAATGGCCGAGTTCCAGACTGCACGTTTTACCTGCTCATAATAGCCTATGCACCGAAAATTAGGTAGAACATATTTGTACTTGTCAGTTCCAGCCTGGTTATGTTGAACGGATCCTGTCCGGTGTACCTCGTTGTCATTGACCCGTCCTCAAATTTCTTGGTAGTTTGGGTTTCGAATGACCAAATCTGAGCGTGGAAACCTGGCTGGGGACGAGGTGGCTCAAGTGGCTAGAGCGCAAATTTACTGACCAGAAGGTCCGTGGTTCGAACCCGGCCTCTGCTTTTCGACTTCCCCTGTCTAGGCTTGGACAACCTGGAAGTATCCCAGCCCTCATGCTTCCTTCTGGTGGCTTGGCAGTTAGGCACCGAAGGGGTGCTACAGCGGAACGATTCTTTTTAAACTTGGTTATTCTGACGTATTTGTATCGATTCGCATCCGTCCGCCTGAAAGGGCGGTTACAATATAAAATTACGCTCTAAAGTAGAGCACTTTGCACGCTTCCGATTGCATGTAATCACTAAAGCATTTGAGATCATCCTCTCATCAAGACATTTTAGATTGCGTTTGTAAAACTAGCTGGTGCTTCAATTACAACTAACCGCTCATGATTAGCTTTTCCGATTGGTTTGTAATATTTTGAATCGGGGGTTTAATCGCTTGGGCAATGCTATAAGAAGCCCATAGCGAAATAGGTTGTGAACTTCTGCTATAGGATAAACGGAGATCCCGCTCAGCGACAGCATCCGGCGCACAACCACCAATCCTGTAGCCATTCGTTGGAACCTCTGCAGCCAAGCCATATCTCCTGAGGAGGACGAAAACACCAAGAGTGGTTCAGTTAAGTCCGATCACGGTCTACCAAAGAAAGCTGTGTGTTTTACTCCAATCTCTTGCTGGCGGAGGGTTCGCGGAGAACAAATCATGAAATAACAACACGAAATCAAAATGATTACTATCATCTTTAGAGCTGTGGGATCTTCGTACTTTCCCATGTGGGGGTCCATGTAATCTCCCAGCATGTAATCATTCGTCCTTGAACTATGTTCGAGCTGTCTGTCTGGGGACGCGCTGCCCAGACATGCTAGCTCGTAGTCTGACGTGATCCGTCTTCTGACGTTTGGGCATGGATAATGCAATGATCCTTTTCCCATTAGAAGTAGCGTCGTCACCCGAAGAACGGTTAAGAAGCCGAATGAATAGTTCCGCGATGGCTTCTGTGGTCACTTTCAACACGGTCAATGTGCGTGGCTAATCAAACAGATGCGGGAGACGGTCCGGCAGACGGCATTAGCCTGACAGATACCTCCGTAAGACTGCATATTCGCACTTTGGAGCCAGCAGAAGCCCAAAGGCACCCAACTTCACGTTAAAGATAACGATTTCA